TTTTGACATGTATCTTTTTTATTATTATACAGTACACCTGAGGTTATGTGCAGATTAATTCTCTACAATGAATATGGCTCTTAAAAAAGTGTAACTGACTTTTATTAAACATGATTTAAAAATGGATGTTTTAAAAAAAGAGGTTCACAGAATCTGTAAAAGGTTTAAAACAACAGTCTGATATTGAAAACAAACAACTGAAAGCTCACATGGGTTTTAGAATTCACGTGTTACGTCCCAAGGTCTAGGGGTGTCCTGGATGTAACATAAATGTGTGGCCTCCCACTCTTCCCATTCCCAAACAAGGCCAACACACAACAAATACAATTTAGCAGTTTTTATTATACATCGGAGATGAGCAGTGCCCAAAACAACAACCAAACACTAAGAAAACCTAAATCTTTCCTAAACCCAAAACCAAAAGGTAAAGAAAAGACAAAGCTCTAAAACTAGGCTTCTAAGTCCAAAAACAGGAGAAAACGGTGCAAACAAAAGAAAGGGCTTCTCACTCCTACTCACTGCTAGTAGCTGACACAATATAACTACGACAAAGGAAATTGCTTCATAGCAACAAAAATGGCAAAGCCAACAAAACCAGGTTGTCATAAGACAATCAGAAGGACTACGATAAACTACTTACAATCTAAGTTGAATATAGTCACAACCGTTCACTATGTACAATAAACACAGACATAACACACAGTAACACACAGTCCTCAGGCAGGTTGGGAATGGCAGAGAGAGGGGAGAGTTCCTGTCTGTAGGGCTTAAGATGGCTGCTGTCATCCAGGTGCCCAATCAGGAGGCTCCATCAGCTCAACCAGACCAATCCAGTGTGTCCACCTGTTCTCCAGTACCTGCATACACTCACACACACACTCTAATGGAGGAGAACAGCTGACAGTGCCAGGAGAGATAAACAAACAACAAAATATGACCCCAGGGTCATAACACTTGTTATACAAATGTGTAGCCGTTGAAGCAAAGCTATGCGATATTTACACATGTTGTCACGTGCCATTCTTAAAGGTTCACTTGGTATCCCACACCAGACTATCTCTGTGTCCCATCTTGGCCACCCAAGTAAAAATTTCCTGGATATACCACTGCTCAAATGCTCTGAACTTAAATTCTACTTGAGATCTCGAGTTTGAATTTGGGGAAATGTGTGTCAGACAATGAACAAGAAATGTGGAATGATGGCAACCAAACAAAATAACTTTTACCAAGCAGCACACACTTGTAAAAGCTGTTTCCCCCACTCTAAAGACACTCATTATTTACCCTTTACACAGACTGACTTTTGCCACTGTGAAATCCACCTCTCTCCTGACAGCTATAATTAGTTTGCTGGCTAACATATACGTGTGTATTAATCAGTGTTTAACACAGAAAAGTTTCAAAGCATAGAATATGATCAAAATAGTTTGATTTATTTGGCACTTCTTTAAATATTTTGGCTGAGATCTGTCAAGTGAAGTTGCTATGTTAGGATTTGGGCACAATAAGGACAAAGCAGTTACATGTGCTGTTGATATTCAGCACAGTGTGTCATGTTGTATGTAAAGTTATGTTTGCAGGAGCAGGCGAGGAATCCTGGACCGTTACAGGGATCCAGAATCAGGCTATTTGCTCTGCAAAAGCCTGTTATCTTTCCTGTTAAAACATTCCCATCCTGGGGGCAAGTAAAACATGCTGAGGGCCAGAAGTTTATCACAAACAAGGTGGATACAGTATATCAGGCATCCTGTTTGCTTCCTGCTGCTAAACCTCAGCCAATGAGTTCACTGTACTCCAGCGGCCTGATCTCAATCCAATAGAGCACAGTGTAACTGGTAATTGAACTGTTTCAACTGTGAGGATCATAACATGTTATTGTATATTCCAATAAGGTTCTGAGTAGACTCTCTGATTTTGAAATTCAGTCAGTATTTTACACTATCTGTAACTGTGACAACTGGAAAATAATTGTTTGTCTTATCCAGTCAAACAGAACTTATTCTACCAGTAAACCCCCCAGTGTTAAGAAACAATGACAAAATGCAAACACTTTACTTACATAGCCCAAAGGTGATAGTCCACAATTAGGTGACAAAAGTTAAAACCGTCGTTTTACTGTAGCACCTCTGTTGACTCCCAAACCGTTAACTCTATTTTGATCCCATCTCCCAATCCAGAAATCGTATTTCAAGATTCTTGAATATAAGGCATGAATATGGAAATTATATTATAATATTTACAATTACAGCTAAGAAAGACCCCCTTGAACTGTTGTTTTTGCCTCTTTTGGAGGGATCCAAGCCTTAATTAGGGGGGTCAGACCCTCCCAATCCCTCCCGTAATTGAACCATGGCACAGGGTTTTCCTGCCCTCCATAGAAGTTATGCCCCCAACCAATGACCATGGAATTTCACATATGTAGGCATGAAATCTTTACTGTGTTGCTTTCATCTTACATGTTTAGTTAAAAGGGCACTTATGCAATTTTCTGTTTGCATAGAGTGACAGATTAGTAGTAAATGAAATAAGTAATAATTATTGCAGCACTAGCTAAGATTTCATGACATTTTTGCACACTAGTTTAAAAAACTGAATAATGATAAGTACAAACTGAATAATGAAAAGTACATTTATGGCATGTGTCCACCACAAATTTGCTCGTTTTCCACTGTGTGGTACCAGCCCGACTCGCCGCGACTCTACTTGCCTTTTTTGGTTTTCCATTGGGAAAAGTTGTACCTGCTACCTGGTACTTTTTTTTGGGATCACCAAGTGAACTGAGGCGATACTAAAATGTGACATGAAAACACGGCAGACTGCTTAGTGGTCAGAGAGAATCGTCACTATTCACTGCATCATCTTTGCGCTCATGCCAACCAGCAGGGGTAGCTCGAGAAAGCCAGATGGCCGTCCGCTCACAGACCCCTCTGGTCACACAGTCACACAGTCACACAGTCACACAACCCACTGCAGCAACAACGGTTGAGGAATCACAGCTGTAAGATTTTCGTACCGCTATTCTGTCTTTACATTCTTAGTAATGTTGAAACTCTTTAACTTAAATCAAGAGACAGCTGGTGTGTGTGGGTAACGGGTGTGTGTCGAGTTTTGTCGAACATTTTGTCGTGGCAGTTATGCACGGTGTTGCTATGATGACCAGCAACATTGAAGAGGTATTATCTGCAATGGAAAACGGAAGACGGCGGGCCAAAAGAGAGTCGAGGCGAGGCGAGTTGAGATTGTACCAGCAATGGAAAAGGGGCTATAGGCTGCTTTCAACATCAACTGATAATCTGAATAGACCAAACAATTATTCAAGAAACCAGTAGGTGGAAATAAAGCACCATCTAAGTCCCCGGGCTTTTTAAACCAATAAGACTTTCTCATCATCCACAGGCTAAACTTATTTTATGAATATAAACATTTGTTGTAGTAATCTAGAAATATCAACATTATTTTTCTTCTTTTCCAGATTGCATTTTCTTTCATCCTTTTTTTATTGGTATCTTTAATTCTAGACCCTAAATTTATTATCACAGTACTATAATTTATGATCCACTGTCTTGCTGAATGTGTGTGTATTGACAGTGTGTATGACGAGTCACAGCCAGATGATACCTGCGGAGAAAAAAATCACAAGTCAGTCACTATTTTATCTGTAACTGTGACATCTTCCTGGGAAAATTTGTTTGTCTTGTTCAGTCAAACAGAGCGTGTTTAGAAACATAATCCTTAGTTTCCTTCCTAAGTTTACTTAAAGTGCCAAAACCATACTTATATAGCCCAAAGGTGATTATTAGGTAACAAAAGTTCAAACAAAGTGTGGTTTTACTGTAGCACCTCTACTGACTTCCAAACCGTGACTCTATTTTGATCCAGTATCCAACCCATCCCCCATCCAGAGATTAACCTCTTCAGACCAGCTTATCCCCAGTTGGGTCAATCATTACAAACAAATTATGCCATGTGTCCAAACTTTGCTTAAAATGCAGAGAACTTAACTTCTACTGGAGATCCCAGTGTGTCATAAGAAACCAATATGGCTGAATTTTGGTGAAGTGTGTATAAGATGATGGTTGAGATATGTGGAATGATGGCAACCATACAAAATGGCATCTTTAAATATTTTAACCAAGTTATACTGTACCTACTAAAAATATTATTTCTAGCAACATAAAGGGAAATATTTTATTACCTAGACCAACAAATTTCATTTCCTCTCTCCAGCCTCTTGGAAGGACACTGTGGACGAATTGAACAAGGTAGCCCTCCTGGTGATCCCATTTATTTTTCTCATTGGGGTTATTAAAGTGCACACAGCGAGGGAAACTTTGCCAAAGAGGAAAACAGCAGATCGCTCGGTTGGTGCTCAGTCCTGTGCAGAATTTTTTTGGGGTTCCAGGGATTTGCAGAGGACATAAAGAATAAGAAAGGAGAGCAACAAAGGAAATTACCCGAAAACACTAGAATAAATTCCTCTTACATTCCCCCTTACATGCCTTCTTGTTTATGTGTAGATACAGAGGAAGAATGGGAGAACAGCACATATCCCATTGTTACTGTGTTATTATAGAGTATAGGAGAACAGTGGATACTTTAAATACAGCCCACACCCCTAATATTACTGTGTAGCTATAAGATTTTTACAACTGTGTGCATAGTTTATTCATCTTGTGCAATGTGTTTAAAGACTTATAATAAATAGGCCTTCTAGGCTCCTCTGTACCTATTTAACATTTAAGATTAGCTGTGTTTGATCCACCTTCATATAGTATATTACTGTATTACTTGAGAAAGGTGAGTTGTTTTCTGCTCCAGCCTCGTCCTAAATAGCTGCTGCAGTGCAGAGTGAAGGAATAATAGACTGGTTTCTCTGCTTGTTATTATTCTAAATCATGCAATGAAGTATTAGAAATGCATAATAAATCCCAGAAATGTGCCATTCTGAAGGTGGGACAACATCATTTGTATTTATTGAAATTATATCACAATTGAGAAAAACATCATAATGAATTAACAGATGCCACAGGGTGTCATTCTTTATTTACCAGCACTGTAAATTGTAGGTACACAGCATTTTAAGTTTAATACTTGCATTTTGCAAACCAAAAGAAAAGAACATAATCAAACAGTTGTATTTGTTGAAATGTAAATAGTTTTATTAATTGCAGAATTTCAGCCCCTGTGGTACTGCTCTTTATTCTGGATTTTCTGTACCTAAACAAATGTATGTGACTGCTGAATCATCTGATTGAAGTATTTGGCTTTACATACAAAGGTGCCTTTGAGGGTGAACTGATAAATGGCAACTCATCTGTTGATGATCACTGTGAAATTCTCATTCATTGTTCCTTGACAATGAACTCCAGGATATAGCTGTCCACTAAGACTGTGCAGTATGTAGCCTAAGGAACAATACTTGTGTTATAGCTGACTTGGGCAGTGAAATGTTTTATTTTTTAATTTATGTGGTCCTGGTTGTCCACAATTCAAATCAAAAATTATGGAGAATTATGGAACAGGTCAGACATGCATATGATTTAGAATGTGTAATGTGTAGAGTATGCAGCTAAATAAATTTCTGTTTAAAAATATAGGATTTTAAAATACATATGAACAGCTACTTAAGGCATAATTTATGAACAAATGTTCACAAAATATCAGAATTTCCCTTTTAAATGTTTCTCTTTCATTCTTTATTTTTTACATAGATTGTTTTTCCAAATTCCCATTTTATTAGAATTATCATAACTCTGTGACATTGTTGGACATTACTGAGAATAAATCTGGCTAAATGTACAGACAACAGTCGTAATTGTTATTAATCTGAGATCTTCACTGTGTAATTTACTTAAATGATGCAAACAGTACATATGCGCTAAAACACAAAAACAAAACAAAACTAGACTTCTGCATAGGTGCCATTGAAAAAGAATGGCTTGTCTGTCACACAGTGACCTATGACCTCTGGTGTCCATCTCTGGATCTTGAGCTTGTTGTCCTTTCCCGGCCGGACGATGACGGTGCTTCTGGACGCCACTGAAGGGTCTTCTTTGAAGAAGTTGAAGGGTCGGAGCAAGAAGCCCACTGCGTTACCGGGTGTTGTCGTGTTGGGGATGTCTTCTGAGTGAGGCACATGCAGGAAGCCGACTGTCACCCAGGCCACCAGGTCCTGCACACAGGAGAGCAAACAGTACATTAGTTAGAGTGGGACATATCACAGGGGATTTTTATCTTTTTGAAAGTGTCAGCATTCATGAGTTACCATGATGGAGAGTGACCAGAAATGAACAAATTTTAGGAAGAGCAATCTTAACGTACTAACATAACCTCTAAGAAAAACACCACACCCTCAAATGTAAACCACATTTCAAAGAATCCTTGCATCAGTAAAACATCACGTAACGTAAATCTGTGTAAATATATTGCAGTGTAACTTGTAATTGAACTCTTGGTTGGGGATCCTAAGATGATATTGTATGATCTAAAAAGGTTCTGGGTAGACACTAGAAGGTTCTGGGTAGACACTGTCTGTCTATGTACGAAAGAAAAAGCATAGATTTAACTAACTAACAGTTAAGTTTAAATGTGTAGTTTAACATTATGGAAACTTTGTTTACTTTCCTTTTATGAAGTTAATTTGTTAACTTCAGTTCGGGACGGACTATGCCTCAACCACACCTCCAATCACCTGCCACGCCAACGCATTCTCATCTCAGTGAATCATTACACTTGCACAGCTGTAGGGTTAGCCGGTTAACATGCATAGTACTAAGTCACTGACTTAGGTTTAGGCACAAACAATTGTGATGGTTATGGTAATGGTAGGGGGCTTAGGGGGGCTGTCAACACCTTTAACACGAATGTAGCTAGCACTTCCGGTCTCATAGAGCCGCTGAAGGGTACATTTAGCATCGAATAATACAAGGTATTTTCATGGCCACTCCTCAACCTCCAATCACCTGTCAAGGCTATGTCTGCCCCACTGGTCTCAGATTGCTTGACCCACACTCCCTTTCCCTTCCTTTGCCTTCGCCAGTCCAACGCAGGGCCACACCCAAGGACAATTTAGAGACACCGATTAACCTAGCCTGCATGTCTTTGGATGTTGAGAGGAAGCTGGAGTACATGCAAACTCCACACAGAAAGGCCGGGGCAACCGGGGTTTGAACCCACGACCTTCTTGCCGCGAGGCGACAGTGCTAACCGCTGCACCACCACCACACCACACCACACCACACCACCACCCCCACTATAATTCATGTATTCCAAACAGACATCCAAAAGATAATGTTGATGTCTCTGTTTAAATGTTCACTTTACCTGGTTGACTATGTTTTCATTGTTGCTGATGTAGTCCTCAAAGGACACAACGGGTTCCCAGGGGTTATTCTGGGCATAAATGCTGCTGCTGGTGGCTTCACTGTCTTTATGACGGGTCACAGCCAGAGGATACCTGCGGAGAAAAAGTTCACCAGTCACTCAGTGTTTCATACTATCTGTAACTGTGACGTCTAACTGGAAAATAATTAATACAGAGAAAAGGCACCTCTCACTCCTCAAACTCTGTCAGTTTGTCATTTCAAAAGTTGGCCTTATTTTAATTGTGTCCAACCGACATGTTTATCTCATCCAGTCAAACAGAACATATTCTACCAGTTAACCCCCCTGGGTGTTTAGAAACATCAGAAGTTTTCCTAAGTTTACTTAAAGTGTAAACACTTTACTTACATAGCCCAAAGGGTGTTGACGCTTTGTTGACTCCCAAACTGTAACTCTTGAACCAAGATTTAACCCATCTCCCAAACCAGAGATTAACCACTTCAAACTCACTGATCCTCCTTTGGGTCAGTCATTACAAACAATTATGTTATGTGTGCAACCTTTGGATAAATTCTACTGGAGGTCCTAATGTTTCAGAAGAAACCAACAGCAATTGAATTTTGGAGGAAAATATGTATAAGATGATGGACAAGACATGTGAAATGGCATCTTGGGTTTAAATATTTTCCCCAAGTTCTAACTACCAAATTTCTAGACACATAAGGGGCACATTTGATTACCTTGACCAACTGATGCCATTTTCCTCTCTCCAGCCTCTTGGAAGGACACTGTCGGCATGTGAGTTGTACTGAATACGATAGCCCCTCTGCTGCCCCCATTTATTTTTCTCATTGGGGTTGTTAAAATGCACATAGCGAGGGAACTTTTCACCAAAACTGAAAGCAGCAGATCGCTCGGTCTTGTGCTCAGTCCTGTGGAGTTTAGACTGGACGATGAAATTCTTCGGGCTCCAGGGATTTGTGAAGTTGACAAATTTCAGATCCACTGTTTCAAAGCTGTTCTCTCGACCTGTGTCACAGTGAAAAGAAAGAGTTTTTGTTAAAGTTAGAGGTCTGTTGAAACTCTAGACATTTACCTTAGCATCAGAAGTCTGTTATTTATCTTATAGCTAGGTGGGCTCAATGTAATCGCTGCTAACATTGGGCGAGAGGCGTGGCACACTTTGGACAAGCTATGACACAGAGTTGACACACAGTAAAATACAAGTATTCACACTCATATTAACAACTATGGGTAATTTTATGTTGCCTCTTAATTTAACTTGTATATCTTTTGAAAAACTGGTTGGGACTATGGCATGGGAAATTCTAGTTAAGGCATGGTTAGGCAACATAAACATTTAGTTAGTGCTGGGGAAAAGATTGTGGTTACAACTGATAGAAAAGGAAATGTTGATTGTATGCCTGTAACAAGACATGAACTTTGGTCTCCTATACATGAAAGTCTGACCCATTATACCCTTACTTTACTTTACCTTGATTCATGAAGGACATTCTACCCTAGAAATAAATTGTGAGGTGCAGATTCATCCAATATGGCTGTATTCAAAGAATAGTTTACTGTGATGGATTCTCAACTGATCTTGAATTTTGCCTGTTTTAAGTATAGACAGTCAATAGAGAGTTACTGCATAAAATGGGCCATAAAATCTACATGATTGTACCATAATACTCACCAACAATATCCAGGTCCACTTTGTAATGGATGAGGTGTGTGTGCAGGTTACCCAGCACATAATTATGCACCTTGGTACCAAAGTGAAGTCCGTTAGGTGTAAAGAAAGTGGCGTGAATGTATCCAGTGGCGCTGGCCTTTACTTCCACCACTCCATTCTGGTAGAAGAGGAAGTCCCAGATGTAATCATAGTTGTAAACCGTCGAGGTTGTTCGCATTACCAGCACTGTGTTTTCCAGACCTCCATAATAGTCATATCCCCCCCCAGGGTTGGAGTTGAAATGTCTTCTCAGAGGCATAGCAGTTGTCATCTCAAAAATACAGAGTGCATTTTTGTATTGCACGGGTTTGTCTGTGTCAAAGTAGTGGTAAAGGTCAACAAAGGTGGCAAATTCTGGACAGTCGATTCCAGGCGCCAGCTCATAGTTTGAGCTGCCCATTGCCCAGCCAGAATCGATGAACTTTGTTTGCATTGCAGTGGGAGTATCACCAGCATAGAAGGCAACAGCTTCTTGGAGACTGATCTCATAGGCAATCCTTTCTCCATTAAAACGGACATCAAAGACTTCAAGTCCAGCTGATGAGCGAACTCGGTAGGCGAAGGACCATCCAGCATATTCTACAAAATTGCGATCAACGTTGTAACGAGGCCCCTGGGGCTCCACAAGTTTTGGCCCATGGATGTTAGTGGGAGTGTTGGTCTGACCCCGGGGGATGTAAGTAGAGTAGAGATCACTGAAATCATGATCGGCTAGTTTGACCTTCTCCACACCTCCTGATTCATATTTTTCTACCAGTTCCTCAACACTGTCAAAGTACATGTTGTTATACCAGACCTTCTCAACAGTCCACCTTTCTGGATCCAGGTCCTGGTGGTTGATCAGTACCTCAAACCCAACTGGGTGCAGGAAGTTACCCTCCACAGACTTTTGCAGCATCATCCAGCTTCTCCTCTCACCTGGACCCAGCCCACGGGGGGCTGTGTCTGAGGACATTAGGCAGCGGTCAGTGCAGTTAGCAAAGGAAAACCCCCCTGTGGTCTCAAACAGAAGTTTGTGAGCCGTAGATGTGATCTTCTCGAGGAAGTCATTAATATGGTTCTGCTCTACATCAGTAATAGGCCTCGACTCAAACTGGATAGGCAAATCTCCCTTGAACGTCTTTACTTCGTGGGACTTTGGGGATGGCAGAGGACTCACAATAAACTCAGTGATGTTGGGCCTGGTCTGATTCCCAAACTGGATGATCACACGGGCTTGACGTGGAGGTTTGGCCTGTCCACGGTCTAGAGCTCTCAGGGCTTCATGCTTCCTTGGCAGATGGAGTTCTATCAGTAAGATGCTGTTCTTCTTCAGAGTCTTGCTATGAGCGTCGGTGAGCTCCAGCTCTGGAATACCATGCAGGTAGGCCCGGACAGCTTTCAATTCAGGCACAGTGAGGTCGGCAAACATGGAGGCACCGTCACGAGCCCAGTCTCTTGATCTGGAAGCACAACAACCAGCCAAGCAGACCAGCAGCAGCAGACAGAGAAGCCTCATGACTTGAATCTGAGGAAAGAGTAATAAGCATGAATTGACAGGATATGTTGAGTGAATTCATTCAGTGATGTTTCATTTTAGAAAAGAATGAAAATCTTCTAAATCTTGTAATTAATAGTTTTACATAGGGAGTTTCAGAAAGAAAAGCTTTCTACTTATCCCAATTATTTTAAAGCCTGTTTCTTACCCCTTTCTTGTAAACTAAAGAATCAAAAAACTATGGATGTCTTTCTACTTGGCTCACCTTTCTTCCTCATATTCTCTTCACAGCTGGATAAACAATTATTCCTTGTTCCTTTGCCTATAGTTATTTTCTCTTTCTATCAGTCTTTCCTCCATTTCTCCACAGGAACAAAAATAGTCTCTGCTATAACACACTTTTGCACACGCATCTCGGTATCAGGAATTAAGAAAGCTACTGTACCTGTAATTGTTCTCCTGCTTTAGCAACTGAAGAAAACTCTCTTATTCAAATAGGGATCAATGCACTGCTACTTATATTTGACCTCCTACTGTGAAGTGACGGAAGCTGATTGGTCAACAGTTGATTGTAAACATGATAAAAAACAGGTTCTCTTTTTAGATAATCCTGCATAAGCAAGGCAGGTTTATTTGTTTAACACCTTTCACCAACAAGGCAACTGAAAGTGCTTTACATAAGACTTAAAAAGCATTAAGAAAAGAAACAGAAGCAATATAAAAATAGAATGTAAAAAGACCACATGTGAATATGATTTAAAAAGAGAATGAGACAGAATAAAAATGACAGTGATGTGCAAGATGTGAATAAATCAGCCCAATGTTAATTTAATAAAAAGGCAGACTGCATATTTTCCAAGTTTGGAGTCTGTCCATGGAAACATGTAGGCTTCATCAGCAGAATACTGTGGATTACTGCATTCTAGGGGAAAATGTGTGTAATTACGCAGCACAGTTCAGAGCTTTTTCCATCTTTTTTACAACACTGAAAAATGACATTGATTCTGATTAAAGTTTTACAACCTGCAATCCATTTATTGTATAAATCAACTTTGCTCTTTCATTTGCACCAAGGCATCACTATATGAGGCCCAAGTGAAAACTAAAAGACTTAGCTTTTAGACTAATCACTTGGGATTTTTAAATAATAAATTCATTTTTTATTCATTTAAGAATGTTTAGATAACCACTTTTGTAAGCTCCAGTTCAGGAAAGCAAATAGATGCGATCCACTTTTACTTTATTACTTTATTTTACTATATCTGAATACTGAAGGCCGGAAATAAACTTTAAGTCCTGGTCATATCACTTAAAGTGTTTTTTTTACATGCAACTCATCAGTTTATAACTTATTACATACTATATGATGCTTTTTTTATACTTCAATTACAATCTTCATCTAGAAAAATAACCTTTTGAAAATGAGTGCTTCTTGTTTGTCTTTTCCTCATACATTTACACCTGGATCAACTGGTTTAGAAGCTTGATGCAGAGCATCTGAAACTGCCTAAGGGCTGTAATACACTGAGACAGTTACTGAATTTCACCCTGTGACTGCTAGTGCTGTGCATTTTTCAACACTGTTATTTCTGAACATCCACTGTAGGCAAATCAGTTTGAATATAGATTGTTACCGTTTCTATACTTCACTGTTAGTCATATGTTGTGCCTTAGGCCATAGTGTCAGGGCGATAACCAAGATTTTATAACTACAGAGGTCCAAAGCCAAACAGGAGGAGCAGGAGGAAAAAGAACACACAGTAGCACAACGCAAGTTCAACATAGAGATGGAAAATAGCTCATTGTAATTGCAGTGGTAATAATATACATTCAAAGGAAAAGTTTTCCACCCTACACTGTGAATGTTTACACAGTTTGTTCAATAAAAACATGAAAACATATAATTACTTCTGTGGTATTAGTTTAAGCAGAATGTGTTTGTCTATTGTTGTGACTTGATGAAGATCAGATCACATTTTATGACCAATTCATGCAGAAATCCAGGTAATTCCAAAGGGTCCAGAGATGTTTTCCTGCGACTGTATCAATAATAATAATGATAATGATAGCATCATCAAAGTAGAGCAGCTGTCGAAGGCAGAGAGGCGGGACACAGTGGATCTAATGGGGCAGAAATATGAATTTGCTGAAGCTGTGCAGGTGATCATGATCATTTCAGGATTTTCAGATCAGAAGGAATGATCTGGTGAGGAAATTACCAAAGAACGACTCAGGAGCAGAAGGTCAGTCACAGGAAGAGAAAAACATGACGCCTTTCTGTCCCATCTTATCAGTTTGTTTCAGCATGTCGTGCCTCCAGACAGCAGATCTGTGTTTATTACAGGTCACTCTTTATGCTTCAGGACTTTATAGATTCAGATGTTACTGGGACCTACTTCACTAAAGTTGCATTTCACAAATGATTGTTGCTCACAAATTGAGAGTCCTGCTGGGCTTGCAGTGCACAGCTTGCACGTTGCAGATCAGTTGAAAATGTTTAATGAAGCAGCTTTTGGAACAGAGAAAAGTCACTTAGTAAAGCTGGTTTTTGTTATTCTTGCTCAACTGTCTCACACACAAAGACTCAGAACTTGAAGAAGAAAGATGCGCAGGTGCTTTACACACTGAAGTTTAAACTGCAACCACAGAGCAGCAGCAGGCTGAGGGCCTCAAATGATAATTTCCAGTATTAGTTCATCTGTGGAATATTTCCTCAAACATTGATTAATTGTTTTGTCTTTTTGAAACGTGGAGCAGAGAGCATGTTCTGTCTGGAAAACATCTGATAACAACAACTAGTAGACCAACAGCTGTCACGTGAATGTCCTGCAGTAAGAAGCTTCTGCGTCGCCAGGTCATTTTTCCGGGGCTTTAGCCTCCGATGTTTGTCTATATTAACAGACTGTTCTCATCTCAGGGCATCCAATACCAACGCTTTCAGAAAAAGTGACAAAACGTAGTTATTTGTTGCCAAAGGTACCCTTCAGCGTCTCTATGACAGTATGGAGAACACATATATGCACACTGTAAACAAAAACAATAAATACAGATTTAGACAATAGTGCAATGAGCAGAGTACAAAGGATGTAGGAGTAAATTATTATAACCACTGTTATTATTATTTACATGTCAGAGGTGGATGAGATATACAGGTACACATACATGCATTCATGTACACAGTGTGATGGAGAAGAGTGCAAAGGACACTGGAAGGGGGGGTTGAAAACATGGAACATTTCTGGGCTAGGCTAAGCTATCAATGTTTCAAGAGCATGGTAAGAAGTCCAATACTTTGGGTCCTGCTGTAAATGTATTATGTAGCAAATACATCCCGATATCTCTCATCTGGTCCTACACATGTCCAACCACTCTAATGAAAGCTCTAACTCTAACCACTCTAATGAAAGCTCTAACTCTAACCACTCTGATGAAAGCTCCAACTCCAACCACTCTAATGAAAGCTCTAACTCTAACCACTCTTATGAAAGCTCTAACTCCAACCACTCTAATGAAAGCTCTAACTCCAACCACTCTAATGAAAGCTCTAACTCTAACCACTCTAATGAAAGCTCTAACTCCAACCACTCTAATGAAAGCTCTAACTCCAACCACTCTAATGAAAGCTCTGATGTTAACCACACAAATGAAAGCTCTAACTCTAACCACTCTAATGAAAGCTCTAACTCTAACCACTCTAATGAAAGCTCTAACTCCAACCACTCTAATGAAAGCTCTAACTCCAACCACTCTAATGAAAGCTCTGATGTTAACCACACAAATGAAAGCTCTAACTCCAACCACTCTAATGAAAGCTCTAACTCCAACCACTCTAATGAAAGCTCTAACTCTAACCACTCTAATGAAAGCTCTAACTCCAACCACTCTAATGAAAGCTCTAACTCTAACCACTCTAATGAAAGCTCTGATACTAACCACACAAATGAAAGCTCTAACTCCAACCACTCTAATGAAAGCTCTAACTCTAACCATTCTAATTAAATCTCTAAATAGCCGGATAATAATAACAACAAATGCACCAACACACATTTACAGTTACAACCGCTGGCCGCTACAACTCTCTCACAAAATCCACTACTGCGACGCCATCTTGGGATTACGCAATACCTCTGAGCTCTGCATTCTTCCTTTTGGCACAGACTGCACCAGAGGAAAAGTGTTGCTTTGGAACACATGGTCTTTATCGCCATCTGGTGGCCGACCCATAGTAGTTACATGGACAAGCATGGTCCCAAATGAAAGGTCTGCTCGAGATAAGTCCATATGCATCATGGTGGGATATTCTGTTCTAAAGTTATTAGCTTGTAAATCATGGGACTTCTCTCGGTCATAGGAATGTTGATCAATATTATCAATATTTCAATGTTTTGGAAACTTTATGTTACTTGTAATGGGGTTGTGTACACAGAAATAGTGTTTTGAAGAAAACTCCCATTAAAAGTCAGCATGTAAACAGGAAATGCGGCCAAAACATGGACATTCGCCTGGTAAATTTTTAAGAAATTGTAAAGTAATTGTTGTATTTTAGTTTCTTTTGATCAAATTTACTGTTACAGTTCTGTCCAGGTGTAGTAAAAGATATTTATTTGCATTATATCAGCTAGATGATGGTTTTGATGGTATAGTGACTTTGAAATATAGATTTTATCCAAGGAAAGGATGAAAATATCATATTTTCCTTTATTGCATCTCCACTCAGGCAAAGCAAGACAAGGCAAGTTTATTTGTATAGTACAATTCAACAACATAGAAATTCAAAGTGCTTAACATAAAACATAAAAGCATAATAGGGAATTTAAAATAATTTTTAAAAGGATGAAAAAAAAACAGGATAAAATAAAATTTAAAAGTTAAATAGTTCTATTTAACTCTTCAAAAAAAAAATTCTAAAATAAAAACAGGATAAACAGGACAGAAAAGTTACAGTGCAGTGTGAGTTATTAATCTTCAGCCTTGAATTTGATCAAATTAAAGGCAGTGTCAAAAAGAGTTTATGGATGGTTCATAACGAAGCAGAA